TACGAGGAAAGTGTACGTGGAGCTTACGAGGAAATGTTTTCCACGGCTTTACGAGGAAAACTTTCCTCGTAAATTAGCTAGGCCTTTACGAGGAAAATAGCCTTTACGATGAACGTCTTTCGACGAAACACGTTTCCTCGCTATTTCCTAGTAAAGGGCCCTTTACTAGGAAATAACGAGGAAAACCCGTCCTAGTAAATGACGTGTTTTCTTGTAGTGTAACTAGAGAGCGCTGTTATGTAATAGGGGTTAAGAATTTTTTTAATATAGGGGTATAGGGTAATCGCCTATTCGAATGATCAAACTAGAGAGCGCTGTTATGTAATAACATGATTTTGCTTGGTAAATCATAACTATGATTAATTAAGAATATTACAGGATGAGTCTAAGAATTTGTTTAAACATTGTTAAGAATTCTTATTAATTTTGTAATCATGTTTTGATTTTGAGAAAGAAAAAAAAAATCAAATTTATGATGGGTTAAAATAGAATGAAGATGGGAGTGAGTGGGGGCAATATAGAATAAAGTCCTATACATATTTTATTCATACTTTATTTGTCTTATTTTATTAAATATTTGTATTCATGTTGTATTTATATTATATATATAATTGTACAAAAAAATGATTTGCTACTCATTTAAAATGCTATTACTTCATTTTTAACAAAAGTTGCATTTAATATTTGAAAACAACAACCAGATTAATGATTTTCTATTTTTAATAATTTGTTTTTAATCTTATTAATTATCTAACTTATTAAACATTAAAACAGTTAAGTTAATAGTAAAATTTTAAATACGTGAAACTTGAGCAATGAAGAATTTAAATTTCATCTTTCAAAATTCATATATCCGAACCCGATCCAAAATAATCAAACCCGAACTAATATATCCGAACCCGATACGTAAATATACCCAAACAGTTACTAGACCCTAATACTGAAATACCCGAAAAAACCTAAAATACCTGACCCGAACCCGAACGGATACCCGAACACCCACCCTTATAAGGGAAAATCACATTTTAAATCTTCAAGTTACTAAAAGTTTACATTTTAACCTTGAAACTCAACAACAAACATTTTAAACAATGAAAAAAATTCAATAACATATTAAACACTGAAATTAATTTATTTGTTCGCCACGTCAAAATTATGTTCGATGTTGTTTATTATCTGATTAAAATGATGACGATGCATTACATTTTTTAAGTTTTTATTATTACTTTAATAAAAATGATTAAACTGAATAAAAAGGAATAATTAAAATAAATAAACTTCTCTAAAAATAAATAAAAACTATTAAAATTAGAAAATTATATAAAATATTAGAATTAGAGAAATAAATTTTATTAAAAATAGAAAAAAATTATAATTAAAAAAAAATCAGAACTAGTTTCACAAAACACAAAGTATCAATATATAAACTTATAACTTTAAAAATTTATTTAAAATATTAAATTAAAAATTTAGACATATCTCAATAGAATGAACCAACTCATGAAGATGGTGACGATTTCTAACATGGCATCCTTCTTAAAAAGAGTGAAAATTTAAATAAAAATATGCATACAATGGTTTCAAATACATGTTTCTAATAGTTTTTTTTTATGAGTTATATCTATCATCATTAGAAATAGCCATATATTTGAAATTTTATAGTATTTTTGTTTTCTATAATTTATAAAAAAACTAAAATAAAAAATTTATATTTTTGTAAATTTGGACCTTTTTAATATTTACAATTTCTGTTTTTTTTTTCATTTGTATTTATTTAATCATTTTAATATTTATTTTAATATTTTGTATTTATAAAAAAAATTATATAAGTTTCTAGGTTTAATATTTAAGATAATATTATTTATATTATTTATATATTTTATTCATTTTAATTATTTTTATTGATTAAAATAATTAATATATTTAAAACAATTTGTAGGGAAATTTGCCAAATATGACTCAAAACTTGGTTTCAAATGCAAAAGTAAACTCAAACATGAATCAAATGCAAAAGTAACCTGAAATGCTATTGAAATTACAACCAGACTCTTGTGAACAAACAAAAACCCCGAATTACTTTTACGTTGCTAACCTTCGGAACTATTCTGTCCAGATGACTTTCAATTAATAATTTATAGTTATTCTTAAAAGGAATTTAAAAAATTTCTGAAAAATATGTAGATAAGTGAAAAATTGAAATCATGTAATTAACATATGTTTTAAGAGATATAAATTAAGATATAACAAAATTTAATTGTTTTCAACATAGATGATTGAAAGTAGTGAGTCATGATATTCTTTGGTATAGATTTTGCCAACATATGTTGTAGTATTGTATGTGTTTTCTTAGGGCTAGATTTTCGAAAGCATAAATGTTTTTTTTTTTTAATTTAAAATTTACCTAAGTGTGTTTATTTTTGTGTATAGTAAACACTATTTAATTATAATTTGATTTTATAACGTGTTTAGTTAGTTAATTTAGTCAATTTAGTTTAGGGTTTAGGGTCTCGACGACATACTATTAAGTCGTCTGGTAAATATATTTAAGGCAGACGACTTACTAATAAGTCGTCCAAAACGGATTGAACCTTTGATTTTACCAATTTACTTTTAAAACTAACCGGATTTTTACCGGACATACATAACATGTTTTTTTTTTACTCATTTTTTCGCGAAATTTCGAAAATCCTAACGTCGTTTCTCTCAAAGGTGATTTCAAAGACAGTTTCCGTCAAATCTCTCTAATCCATCGTTCTCACTGCCGGTTATCTCTCCGCCTTATCAATGTCATTATCACCACCGTTCTCACCGCCGCTTCCTCTATATCAGATCTGAGAGGAAACCCTAGCACCATTTCTCTGTAAACCCTAGCGCTGTTTCTCTTAGAGGTGTTTCGTTGAACTCCGCCGCCAGTAATTATATCTAAAGAAGAGCATAAAACATCGTTCTCACCATTCTCGTCCGCCTCAACAACAATAAATATATCATCATCCTCCTCCCTATCATCCTTCTCCCCATCATCCTCATCCCCATCATGATTTTGATCTTTAACCAAATCATCATCATCATTTCAAAACATTCTTCAGTTTCATCAGCTTCTTCCCTTTTCTTTGAAACCATTTCCACCTTGCTACGGCTTGATACACAAAGCCGTACTACATGCGTTTTGGTTATCTCGAGCAAGTTTAAAACTTGTCTATCACTTGTAACATGAATAGAAGGGATGTCTGGAAAAAAAAATGAGGGATGTCTGGATCCATCTGTTGAATCATTTCTGCTGGTAATGAGTAGGTTATCTGCACAGATTATGTGTTTATGTCCAGATTAAAATTTTATTGAGCCATTGAAACAATTCAGCATGTGTCGAACCTTCACTCAAAAGAAACATTCTCGCTCCTTTGATATTATCAACCACAAAATCTCAACAACCATCTTTGAACAACCATTCTCCATACACTGCATGTAACTGACGCATCATCTGCAAAAATTCAAAATAAAACACATTAGTAAATATAGAGAAAATTAAAGTTTACTAAACACTGACGTCGACGACATACCAGTAAGTCGTCTGCATGACTTAGATGACTTACCATTAAGTGCAATTGACTTTTCAATGGGACGAGTTAATTTTAAGTCGTCTAGATTTGTTTGTTAATAAAAAATCTGTAGACGACTTACAATTATGTCGTCTAAGATAAACGGGTTAGTTTTGCATTTGATCGACTTGCGTCCAACTATTTGACTTTTCCTGGATGACTTACCAGTAAGTCGTCTATGGGAAAACAAAAATTTGAATATTTAATTAAAGCTAGACGAATTATCTATAAGTCATCTTAGGTTAGTTTGCAATTCAAAAATAAAATTTAAATATTTTATTTTTCTCAGAAGACTTACTTGAAAGTTGTCCAATTTGACGTCTTACGAGAAAGTCATCCGAGATAAGCAAGGTTTGACCAGAATCTCGGAAAAAAATATGGACGACTTTACTTATCGTGGAAGACTTTCAAGTAAGTCGTCTGGGAGAAGTACAATAGTTAATTTTTATTTTCCAATTACAAAATTAACCTAAGGCGACTTACAGATAAGTCGTCTTGCTTTAATTAAATATTGGAATTTGTGTTTTTTCAGAGACGACTTACTGGTAAGTCGTCCAGGAAAAATCAAATATCTGACATAAGTCGGTCAAATGCTAAGCTAACCCGTTTATCATAGATGACTTAATGGTAAGCCGTCTACGGTATTCTCTATAAATTAATACTCGATAAATTAATATACACTAAATATCTCTATATAATAATATAATTTTATAGTCTCAAATTGAGTTTTTGATTCGATTATTATATCGATATATTAATATCTCTAAATTAATAAATAAATAAAATTTTGGTATAGTCTCAACAATATTAATTTATAGAAGTTTCACTATATAATACTGATATAAAAATAAATAGCAATATATTTTTGAAAATACATCCTGCGAGACAAAATCTAGTTCTTTTTAAAAATACACACACGAGAACAACACATCGTGTAATAAATATCGAACGTGGCGGACAAAGAGTGGTCGTTGACATACATCTCCAGCAAAGACAGTAATGTTAGATTTAGCCACATGATTTCCCATAGTTACCCTCATTTGACATAATAATTGAGGGGTAGTTTAGGAAATTATATATAGAAACAAACCAAGAAGTCCATAAGCTCCTCCTCAGATCCAAAACGCGACCTCATAGAGCTAATCTCATCCCCAAGAGGCAGAGAGAGCGATATAGAAAACGAGTCTCTTCCCTTTATAAATCCCATTTTACAAATCTCCTTCCCTCTCTAAATCTCTCTTCTTTTGTATATATATAAACAAGCCTTCTCTTTCTTTTCAAATCTTTCTCTCCCAATCATTTGGGGGTAACGAAACCCTAGATTTGAGATTCCGGATTGCAAACTAGCGAAAGGTTCGATTTTGCTTCTTGCCCTCTGTTTCTTATGCGTTCAGTCACTAGGATCTGGTTTCAGTTTCGTCGTACCCTTTGAGTTGCAGTTTAGAATCGGATCTCAATTAGTTTCAATAGCTTTCAACGAAAGCTGTCCTTGTCTGATTTTTGAAACAACTATATAAACTACATGTTCTTCCTTTCTAGAATTCAATAATCAAAATCATTTTGATACAACCAGTTTTGGTCAATGAATTCGACCGTTGAAACATAAACTATATTGTCTTGTGGATGTTTGTCGGCTTAGATCCACATTTGTTTCGATTAATACTGTCTGTGTCGAGATCTCTAGCTGATATATATTTTCTTTTCATTTTTGTGTGATAGAGAATGGCAGATCAAGGAATGGAAGGAAGTCAGCCTGTTGACCTAAGTAAGCATCCTTCAGGGATTGTTCCTACTCTTCAGTGAGTTCTCTCTTGTCTTTGTTATTTCACTCTCTCTTAGATTCGTGAGTTTGTGCTCTGTGAAATGACAAGATTTGAACTTTTTGTTTGTTTGCTTGTTTCAGAAACATTGTCTCGACCGTGAACTTAGACTGCAAGCTTGATCTTAAAGCTATTGCTTTGCAGGCTCGTAATGCTGAATATAACCCCAAGGTTTGCCTTCTCTTTTTTTTGTTGTTGTAGTGATCCATCATTTTGATTGGACCTGATTAAAATGTTTTTCAAAACTTAAGAGTCAATAGTATTTCTACAGCTCTGTATTGATATATGAGATTATTCTTTTTACATTTTTGTCACAGTTATTTCTTGCTTTTTCTTCTGAATCTTACTGGCTATAATATGAAGTTAAAACTATTTTTGTTTGTATTTAGCTTAATGTTCCGTGTGTTTCATGTTCCAGCGTTTTGCTGCGGTAATCATGAGGATAAGAGAGCCAAAGACCACTGCTTTGATCTTTGCTTCTGGGAAAATGGTATGTTACATCGTCTTCATTGCATATCTGAATTAACTATGTTTCTTGTTTTAACTTATTACGTGTTCTTGTTTTAGGTGTGTACGGGAGCTAAGAGTGAACATCTTTCAAAGCTGGCTGCTAGAAAGGTAAACCAGCTCCTCTTAGTGTCCGTAGTCAAAACTTGATAGAATTTCAATAGTTTTTTTTTGTTTTCTATTATGTTAAGAACTCTTTCTTTTTGTTCTTCAGTACGCTCGGATTGTTCAAAAGCTTGGGTTTCCTGCAAAGTTCAAGGTATTCATATATCTATCTCTGGTTCTGACTTCTGATCCAACATACACTTTATTATACAGTTCTGTTCCAAACAGCAATTCGTTTGGTTATCAATGTAAGAAGAAACTACGCGTATAAGTCTAGTAATGAAATAGTTGATTACATTTTGCAGGACTTCAAGATTCAAAACATTGTAGGCTCTTGTGATGTCAAATTCCCCATTAGGCTTGAAGGTCTTGCATACTCTCACAGTGCTTTCTCAAGTGTAAGTGATAACCTCAAGTATTGTATAGCATTATAGTTGTAAGATGGAGATAATATGTCTGACGATTAGCATCTCTCTCCAGTACGAGCCTGAACTATTCCCAGGACTGATATATAGGATGAAACAACCGAAGATAGTACTACTTATTTTTGTGTCAGGGAAGATTGTTATAACTGGTGCCAAGGTAACAATCTTACTTTCTCTCAAGTGATTAACACTTTTTTTTGTCATGAAAACACTTCCGTCATCTGATGAAATCCTGAGGTTACACTATCAGATGAGAGACGAAACATACACTGCCTTTGAGAATATCTACCCAGTTCTTACAGAGTTCAGAAAAATCCAGCAATAAATAGTATGTGTGAGTCTCCAACTTTCTTTTCCCTTTGTTTTTTTTTTCTATACCTCTTAAATCAAACAAGGGTTTGATTATGATCCTTTGATACAAGCAGAGCCTACGTATGAACAGCAACAAAAAAGTATGTTCACGTTTGGATTGTCATGAAGTAGAGATCTCAGGGTGGTTGCAAGTGCTTGGTGAAGTTATATTGCTTCAACAAGGACTTGGTTTGATCCAGATTGAAAACCAAAAACTGTAAATACCGAAAGGAGATGCCAATATATCTCTTTTGTTTTGTTTTGTTTTGTTCTATGTTCTTCCACGTATCTTGTTTCCTGTAATGTTTGTTTCAATGGGCAAATACCATAGTAACTTAGAACCTCTTTGCTAACCATGTATAATAAGACACCTAGACTCTGTAATAAACTTTTTTAACGAATTTGTAGCTTTAGTTTCTGAAATGTTTGAGTATCATAGATCATTTTAGCGATTATAAGTTAGCTTCTCCTAGTATTACTTTTTGGTGGCTTCACATGTGTAAAATAGCTCCACATTTTCAGTGGGTAATGTAAAGCAATGTTCTTTAAGTTTTGTGAAGAAACAGATGGAACGGCTAGTAATTGACGGACGACTTGATTGCGTCCAATATCTGCACCAACGTGAAAAGAAAACCCATGATTTGTTAAGAATATGCGTTTTTGGACAGGAAGATGATGAGTGATATGAACTTGCTAATTCTTGGTTGGCATGTAGAATGGTTCAAGCACAAGAAAGATGGAGTGTCCAGACCACAAAAGGCAGTTATAAGAAACAATTAATAGAAAGCTTATAGATGAGTTACCATTAATTTCTACCTTCGAGAAGCAGCGTATCTAGGATGGTTGCAGAGTCTCTTCTCCAAAACCTCCTGTCACGGGAGCTTGAGAGCTGTGCCTATAGTGCAATAAGAAAAACATTTGCCTAGGCCCCCTCGCATAATCTACAATTTTAGGGCCCCTAATTTCAATTAGTTAAGTGCTCATGCGTATAAATATTTTTAAAGTAAATATATGATAATAATTGATTACTATTTAGTTTTAATTTAAATTAATTTATAATTTGTATGCATCATTTATATTAATAATATTATATTACTTTAATTATACTATAGTTTTATATATGTTATATCTAGTTGATTTTGTTATTTTTACGGTTGTTTTAGTTATCATTTGGATAAATTGGATTGCATCTCTAAATTCAATTGTAGATTTTAAAAATATATTAACTTTAGTTAATTACTTATTTGATATAGTGGATGTTATCTTAGATATGTAAATACATTTTAGGAAAATTATGTATACTAAAGATATAGTGTGCTTAGAAATAATTAAAAATTAACTAAAGTGTTTGATTCCAAAATACGTAAATTAGTATAATGATAATATTCTAAAGTCTAATGCATATATATAAATTTTACAAAAGAACTAAAATTGTAAGAGTTGGTTAATATTTATTTTCATTTGTTAATATGTTTTCAGTTATCCTATGATCAATAGAGAAGATTACATGCATAAGTAATTGATACTTTTTTGGAAGCTTATGAACACATATCAATATTTACAATAATTAAAAGATTTATAAATTCTAAATAATTTTATGTTTTAGATTTATTGAATGTAAACTGAAATTTATTTTAAGCTAGTGGTTTTCCACAGTTACGTCCGGGTTTTCTTATATAAATTTTAGTTTAATTTAATTTATTATATTAGTTTTGAATATATATAATACCTATATATCGATTTTTAAAAATATAAATCATAAAATGAGTTTAAATTATTAAATTGTAAGCAAACTAATATTGACATTAGATGTTATATGTTTTCTATTTTAATTATGCTAAGATTTTAAATAAAGTTACATGATATTTGATCAAAAACTGTAATGTCTAGATGAGTTTGCTTGGTTATGTTTTGATGAACTACATTTTGACAAACTAATGTATTTAATAATGTCTTTGTATAGGTAATTGTTTTATTCTTCAAACTTCTGACAATGTCTATTCTAGTATTTTTTTAATAAAATTTTGTTTTTGATGTTGAAGCGGGCAATATTTTTTCTCCAATTTACTGAACAAAAAACTATAAAATATCATACCTGATAATTCAAATTGATATAACTTTATATTTATTAGTTTTTTTTTAAAATTTTAAAACTTTTTTGAAAAAGATAGTTATATTTATTTTTGCCAACAATTGTATATTAAAGTAGTGTATACTAAATTTTGTCATATAATTATTCAAAACTATAATAATTCTATTAAACTGAGTCTATAATACTTGATAATTTTAAACTAAATTATATACTGAACTTTTTGTAAACTTACACGCATTACAAATGCTTGCATGACATTTTGATAATTAATACAATTTTAATTCTAGAATAATCTACTATAATTAAAAAGCCAGATATGAAATGACTTCAGACTGTCCACGTCGACATTAATAATCGACCAATAGGGAAGATTTAATTGTCCATGTCAGCGACAGCTTGGCTTAGTTTCTTTGGGCAGCAAACGAAATTAATCACCAGACCCACAAATGAAACCCATGTCCATCCTCAAGAGAGACGGTGATTCCTAGGTTATTTGTTCAACGACTCACAGTTCATCTTCTTCCAATCTCTTTACCTCCTCCTTTTACAAATCAGTTTCGAAATCCATCTCCTCCACGATTTCGTACCATCACTTCTTCTTCTCTCACATTCAATGGCTTCTTCGCATCTCCCTATCCATCTAACTCACTATAAATTGAGATTGAGATTTTGTGTATTTCCCAAACCTATCTCAAGAGTTTAACCCGATGGCATCCAATGCACAATATCGAATCTCCGGCGATTGCAAGTCTAAGAAACGAAATGACAACTTCTCCGCTTTCGGTAAGAAGAAGATCTCGAAGACCGATGGTTCATCCACTCCGGTTGAAACGAAACGTCACTGTCCAGATTCCAGAGACGGTGGCTCCTCCAAACAGATGGTGAAACCGATCGGGCCAGTGCTCCCAGTAAGTCTATTGAAGCCAATGTCAAGGGTCTGTGTCAAAGAGTCGTATGACATCCCAAAACCGCGCTTGGATGCCTTATGTGGTAATGTTTCTCTTTAATTCACATAATTCTTTCACTGATCTCGATACAGTTTTTATTGGATCTGATTTCAGAAATAACTTTGTTGTCTGAGCAATAGAAGTTAAGTAGGTATGAGCAAGGAACAAATCTGTATGTGAAGAATATTGATGATATTGTGAATGATGAGAAGCTCAAGGAGATGTTTGCTGAGTTTGGTGATGTGACCTCGAGCAAGGTTTTTTTTTTTTTAAATTTTAAAACAGATATTTTAATGTTGTAATAAAGACTGAACTAAAGTGTTTTGTTTGTGATCATGTCTAGGTCATGATGAATCCAGAAGGTTTAAACAAAGGATTTGGTTTTGTTTCTTACTCCAAACCTGAAGAAGCTTTAAGAGCTGTAAGTTTCAACTAAATACACAATATGTTACTTATCAACATATACATACTAATAGTACTGATTATGGTTATACAGATGAATGAAATGAATGGGAAGATGATAAGAAGAAAGCCTCTTTACACTGCTTTTTCTCAACGCAAGGAAGAGATGAGGACTCATCTTCAGGTTTTTTAACCACTCTCTCTGAACTATATGAAACTGGTTATAATATTATCCTTATGTTTTATTCAGACCATGCTTTCTCATATGTGACCAAATGCACCAATGTGTGGGCTCCATCATCCTCCAACAGGAGGGCCAGCTGCAGGGCCACACCATCAAATGTACATGGGTCAGAAAGGTCAAGGTATGGTGCCGTCACAGCCTATGGAGTATGGCTACCAACTTCAGTTCATGCCTGGTGTGCGTTCGGGGGCTTGGCCCGGCCAACTTTATGATGCCTTATATTCAGAGTCAAACTCAACCTGGTTCTCGTGTTGGATTCAGGCGTGGTGCTCCTTACATGAAGCAGCACTTCCAGCATCAACAACTGGTATGTAAACTTTAATCCTTATCATCTCTATGGAAAAGGTTGTTTATTATCTTCAACTTGGTTTGTGTGATGGTTGTATTTTGAACTGGCAGATAATGCAGCACAATGGAAGATACATGGGAGGTGTGGGTAAATGTTGAGTCGTGTGGAAGCATCTGCTCCACAAGGAATCATACGATTGGATGCATCTGCAGTCTCTCACAATGCATCTCAAAACCAACAGAGGCCACCTCTCCTCCCTATTTCTAAGCTAACTTCTGCCTTGGCACTAGCTAACCCTGCCAATCACTCACATATTCTTCTGAAAGACCCAAATATGTTTACCGGCCAGATTACCCTAATTACTAATATACTATTTACGGCACTTGAAAGGTGAGCCTACAGATCCAAAACAAGGCTTTCTTGATTTTTTATATCCCCCATGACAAAAAAAAATATTTCTTACAGTAAAAAAATGTACTATATTATCTCTAAAGATATTTCTGCAATATTTTCTCTAAATTGTATGATCATTGTAGGTATAGCTACAGATACCACTGGGAACCAGATTTATTGGGGTCCTTGACACCAAACGCAAAGATTTCAATCGGAGTAGTGGTTAAAGTCCACTGGCAGCAAGATGGGTCGGGATAGATGGCAATAGAACCAGTGCCGTTTAATTTTTTGGTCCGTTAAATATTATAGTTCACATCTTCACATTGAGTTTTGTGATTGTTCGCAATGTATATGCATGTTACTGACACAAGTTCGTGACTGATTTGTTTGCTGACATGTGAGAAATTTTTTTTATGATAGGTTTTGTCTTTCGCAACAGATAAATGAGATAGTTATAGATGTCAAACAATCTAACAAAATAAGCTTAATTCTTTAATTTGATAGTAAGTATAGAAGCTGCATGAAATATTTATGTTTTCCTGGCCAATAGCATCATGTTTTGTTGATATATATATATATATCACATACAATAAATATTTTTTTATTTTTTTGGGTTTTGTTTTACTATTTATTTTAATGCATTTTGTTTTTATATTAATATAAATTAGATAGATCTAAATCAGTCTTAGACAATCACAATTATGAATGAATGCAAAAAACAAATCCTCTCGATAACAAACATTAACAAAAAATAACTAAAGGTAAGAAAAAACATAATGAAATTATTATGTACAATATTTTGTAATTTTGGGAGACTTTTTAGTGGTCACTAGCAATTTAGACTTCGTCTTCTCTCAGATTGTTGATAGACTGACTCATAAGTTATATAATCTAAGTAGTATTAAAATGAGAATATTAACCTTCTTCTGCATAGCGAATTATGACTCTTCTAAGTTATAATCATTTAGTATTGTGGTTAAGATGATTCTGAAATGTGTAGATGATGGAGAAGGACTTCAACTTCTAGGCTATGAAGAAGAGTAAAAAAGTATGAAACACATCATCAATATATTTAAAAAATCATTAGACGAGAACTAGCCGTTGTATTGAGGAATAGCGACTAAACGGATTATCCGGGATTTAGGTGAGGCCTAAATGTTAATGAATTATTGATTTATTTTATATATATATTTTACATTTACATAAGATATTTTAGTTATACAAAACAAAAGCAATTAAACAGATTTGTGAATTAATACTAACATCGTTGCTTAATTTACATACTTAGACTAATTTAGATCTATGTAAACCAATTTTTATCAAGTTAGAACAATTTATACTGATTTGAATGATATAAATTGGTATAAATTGAACTTTTTTAAAAAAATATTTCATGTAGTACCGAATTGCCACCTAGAAAGAGTTATAATTGGGGCAAAGTTATCTCCTACCCCAATACAGAAGATATGAAAAATACACAGCTGTGTTCATGTAAAAAAACATTGATGTGCACACCGAAATAAAGATACACCGAAATAAAGCGGTTCTTAAAAAAAATCTGAAATTACAAATAAATAAAAAATTGTCAAAGGTTTTGTTTTTAGAAAAATATAAATATTATTTATATTCCTTTGTGACCATTGGAAATATGTCACAAAAATTAATATTGTATATACAACTTTCATTATATGATACAAACATATTTTCAAATGTATGAAACAATAAATTTTAATATAATGTAATTTTGAAATTAGAATGACAAACCATTAACCAAAACAACTCTAAATGTTTTTAGTCACCAAAAACAATACAAAAATGCAATTTTTAATTGTTTATATAGATTATTTAGTTTAATTACAGAATATGTAGTCAAATATACTCTATAATAAACTAAACAAAATTATAATAGAGAAAAAAACCGGGCGTAGCCCGGGAAAAGTCCCTAGTTATAGTAAACATGTGATAACATTTAGTGGGGGTTATTGATGGGGGATTTGCCAAAACCAACCTAAAATTTCATTTCAACCCTAAAGGTGTACCCCTTATTGAGTCAAATGCAAAACCAACCTAAAGGGGTTATGAAGTTACTACTTAACCCTTATGACCAAACAAAAAAACAGACAGTTATTTTACGGTTCTGTCCTTTGCAAGTCTACACATAATAGAGAGAAGTCTACACATTTGTAGACCTTCTTAGAAGTCTACTTTGTAGACGTATTCTACAGTCTACATCGTCATTTGATCTTATAATTTAATTTTTAAAATGTATAAAAATAATTTTTGGGAAGTTTTTAAATAAATCATCAATATAAAGATTAGTATGAAATATATAAATTAAAATTTCATATAAGTGAAAAGTTTAATAGAATTTATATTGAATTGGTAACCATGTGAAAGATAATGTGTTATGGTTTCCCAACAAAATGGTATAACATGCTTTGTCTTTGAGGGTTAGATTCATATATTAGGGTTAGATATTTGATTTTAATTTTTTTTTGTTTTTTTGACACACTAATGTTGAGAAGTTTATTTTTTCTATATTTAGATATTTAATATAATAATTAATATATTTTTGATTATCAAATAAATATTTAGGGTATCAGATTTGTGGTTTAGGGTTATAGTAGACTTACAATAAAGTCTACTTACATTTAGGGTTTGCTCAAACAATAAAGCAAAAAAAAAAAAAAAACGGAGTTGTAGACTTACCCGTAAATCTACACACTTATACCAAATTAACCTAACCGGATTTAACCAACTTAGTGTATAGTAGACTTACAGTTAAGTGTACTTATATGTAGACGTCTATTTCAGTCTACGTTAATTTGTGTTTACCGAAATAAATTATTTTAAAATTAAAATTAACTAAGCGGGAAGTGAAAATGAATTTTGGAGCCTATTTTTCCTTATTGGCGCCATTATTTAGGGTATAGTAGACTTACAGTAAAGTCTACGTATATGTAGACGTCTATTTCAGTCTACATTAATTGGTGATTACAAAAAAAAATTATTTTAAAATTAAATTTATTTATTTATGAATTAAAATGTGAATTACAATTTTATCAAAAAAAATATATACTAAGTCTATTAAATATATAATGAAAAAAAATTTGATTATATATTATAAACTATATAAACAATAAAGAAAAATATTATAGTAGACTTCTTTGGAAGTCTACCTAACCTAAAGTTTGACCAAAATAATTTTAACCAAACAAAAATTAAACCAAAGAGTTTTAACCTAATTTTTCTTGACATATAAATACTCTTTCTTACTAAAAAAAAGGGCAAAAAAAACAAGTTGAGCCCACGACACTCTAAAAAGCAACGAACCCTAGTAGACTCCTCGCCGCCGTATCTCGTTTTCTGCTCCGGCGGTTAGTGCTCATCACCGCCACCGGGAGCGGCCCCATTTCTCCTCTCTTTAGGCTCTCTTGCTTTGATTTCGGCAACTTGTCACCGTTTTTAATTTGGTTTCAGATCTGGGTTACGGAGAAATCCGGTGTCTATGGTGTCGGATCTTGTTCGTGTGTTGCTTGGATGGTGAATCGGTGCGTGTTGGGCCTGTCGGATAGGTGCGATGGTCATTAGCTTATCCAGCTTGTTCTGGTTCTGTTGAAGATGGATCTATGGTAGAGCTTCGCAGAAGATCAAAGGTTCTCTTTTTATATGTTCTTGTCTTGTAGAGGTTCTTTTTTCTTGCGTTGTTTCTGATTTGCTTTTTCTTCTTCTTTTGGACAGAACATGTAGCAACGAAAACTGCTGTGCAGATTAGAAGCCATGCTCAGAAATTCTTCTCCAAGGTAACTCTCCTGTCAGACAAGTTTCTGCTTCTTGCGTTTGCCAAAACATAGGTTGCGTACTAGTAGTGAGTGAGTACTAAGTCTATAATATTTAGCTAGAGAAACAATGATATATTAGGCAACACAGAGCACTATATTTAGAGAGTGTAATAGTTTTATGCTTGTATTCAATTTGTTCAGGCTGCTGTTAGTATTGGCATAACAATAGAACATGAGGTATGAGTTTAGTAGTTTAGTGGAGAATTAAGATATAGTGATGTAATTATAAGTGGTGGTTTTGGTTGGTTTTTTAGGTGAGGATTCATAACTTCTTGAAGAGGACTAGGAAGAACGGTGGAGGGAACGTGTCAAGCTTACTCTGCTTCCGGTCAGAACCACTACTAACTACAGGTGCCGGTGTTTTTTATTTAAAGTTATCTAACTTATAACTACTAAACTACTTGACCATAAACAAAATGATAGATGATTATTATGTACCTCACTATTTTCACTGTTATAAATTTAAATATTAGAAAACATATTTTCAGCTTTAGACATCTGGACAGTATATATTCATCATGTGACTCAGTTAATTTAGATATTTAGGTTCGATTTAAATGGTTCTTTGATTTATTTGGATTGAAGAAATTTTACTAAATCTAACTGGTTATTTTGGTTTTTGAGAATTACTGCCAAACTAAACATAATATCTCAGTTAATTTGTTTAATTTCAAGTACGGGCCATTTTGTATAGTGTTATGATACTTATAGTATTATGTTTGTAATTATATTTGAACAGTTTTGTTCGTAAAGTTGGTATTAGATATTATATTTGCCTTATTTTCAATAAATTTGATTAGATATTGATTATATATCGTTAGTAATAAATATATTAACATTTTTTTTAAAGCAAATTTTTATAAAGAACTCTATATTGGCCTTTATTTGGATGCTAATGAATTATTGAACTCTAATA